GGAGATCGATTGTTTAGTGCTTCTTACCATCTTGAATCCCGACGGGATAAACATTCTGAAGTACTTTGCAAAAAGACATTCAAGAAGGAAGAAGAGGCCAAGTTTCGATCTATTGTTCAAAAAGACTACAACTTTGAAATGTATTTTGACGACTTGCCTATCTAAGGTGTCATAGGAGAAGTTCATTAGGAGGGGAAAGACCCAAGTGACAATAAGTACTACTTGTACAACCGTATTCACTTTGACATCTTCTATAACAAGGATCGTGTTATTGAAATCCATCTGATTTCAATGATAAAAACCTTTATAGGCCTTATAGAGGATAAAGAAATTAATGTGGAATTTTTGCATTCTGCAAAATGGAAAGAGATTAACACTCCATTTAAGAAGAGGAGGAATAATTACTATCTTCCGTTTTCGTCCTCCCATTGGTTCTCAATCATAAATTCATGTGTTCCAATTCTCCTTCTAATTGGGTTTCTTGCAGCTACTATGTTCTGGATCCTCAAGAATGATTTTGTCAAGTAAGAGCCATTCTAGTTTCTGCATTACTGAGGGTCAAACTGTTGAGCTAAAAGTAAATGTTATGCTTGCTTGTCTTTAAAATAGGTATGCCCATGATGAGGAATCTACTGAAGACAAGGAAGGGATTGGTTGGAAGAATCTCCATGGAGATGCATTCAGGTTCTCCAAGTATAAGTTTCTATTTGGAGCTGCCCTTGATCTGGCAGCCAACTATTTGCGCTGTAAGTTTCCTTGAGTTCTGACCCTCTGTCTCTGCGTACTTATTCTTTATTGTTATGTCTTAAAGTTGTATTTACGCATAATATGCAGTATGGTGCTCATATTTATTTTGGCAGTTTTTGGTGTATTCTATCCATACAATCGAGGGGCCCTGCTTACGCACTTGTTGCCATTATGCACTAACTTCAGGAGTTGCTGGCTATACAGCAACCACGTTATACTGTCAGCTAGAAGGAACCAACTGGGTATGCATGGATGAGTTTTTTTCCACTTCAATGAAGTCCTGTATCTGTGGAGCTTGCTTTTGTTTTCATTTTTAGTTATTGATAATTACATAATTTTCCTTATTGACATGTCAGGAATCTACTATTGATTAGATGCATTTTCTCTGTACCACTATTTCTCACATTTTGCTTTCTGAATACTATTGCTATTTCTTACAACGTCACCGTTGCCTTCCCAGTTGGTGCGATTATGGTGGTAGTTCTCATGTGGACTTTTGCAGCATTTCCCTTACTTGTGTTGGGTAGGGTTGTTACGAAGAAGAACATGGCAGAATTCAAAGCTCTTTGCCGAACAACTAAATATCCGAGAGAGATTCCACCTATGCCATAGTATCGCAAAGCAATTTCCCAGGTGGCGGTGGCAGGGACTTTGCCTTTTGGTGTGGTATGCATGGAACTTTATTATGTATTTTCCAGTGTTTGGGGTAACTGGACTTTTGCCATCTACAATATCTTGTTCATTGTTTTCATCATTCTCTTGTTTGTTACTGCTACTATTAGTCTATTACTGTGGCATTGACCTACTTCCAGCTTGCCGCTAAGGACTATGAGTGGTGGTGGAGGTATGAAGTTTCTGTATCATTCTTTTCTTTTGCCAGATTGAAGTTACTGCATCATTAACTTTTCATGCTAACTTTAGCATTGAATTAACGGATGCATCATTAACAAAGTTTCTGTATCATTTTTTCATGTTCATTTTATGTATATTTGTTACGCTAGTTAGAGAGAAATGTCATCTGCGTAGGCTACCCAAGTAGAGTATTTCAATAAGTATTTCCCTGGACTACTATTGCACCTTGGAGAAATAAGTCTCAAGAATGCGTGCTTTTTTATTTATTAATGCATTTGTCATTTAATTTCTTGATGTGTTTCAATATTCGTTATCATTTTCTTTTGACCTTTACGCCATTGTAGCTTAGAGTTTTCGGTATATTTTGTTCATGTCAAGTTCATTATGGTTTAGTAATTTACCCACATATTAAGCCTTGATTGTTAAAATTCTCACTTAAATTGAGTTACGTTACAAGGAATTCCACTGAACTTCTTGTTAAACAGAGATTTATTATAGATTCACAAGGTTTAACCTCTGTGTGTGTGTGGTGTGTGTGTGTTTTTTTTTTTTTTTTTGTGCAGATCATTTCTATATGGTGGATCAACAGCAATGACGGATTTAGAAAAATTTAGTAATGGGGGCAATATTTATACCAAATATTAATATTAATGTTTTTTTAAAAAATATAATTTTAAGTAATAATTAGAGTAATATATAAATAAATTATATGAAAAGTTTAAAAATATATCTTAATGTCATTTACATCATATATTTATTTTTATTATAAATAAAAGGGTAAACAATATTTTAAATATGTATGCTTGATAGTTTAAAAAAAATGTGGAGCAACTGATTTTTTATGGAGGCAATTGCAATTTTAAAGAGGGGGCAAGTATAATTTAAACAAAAAAAGTAAGTGTAATTTTTGCAAATTTCGTGGGACAATTGCCCCCTCTTTTCCCTATGTGGACGCGCCCCTGATCATCAGCAGGCATATACATTTGTGCCTATTGTTTGTGCTACTACTATGCACGCTCTAACATGTATGGAAGTCTTGCAAATCTCGTTTTACTTTGGATACATGGCTTGTATATGCTATGGTTTCTTTTTGACGCTCGGAACTATTGGATTTCATGCAGCTTTGCTCTTTGTTCGTCACATGTATGGATCCATTAAGTGTGAGTAGGCATTTGTTGTTGTAAGATATGAGAACAGCTTAAATTAGATTCTTCTTATTTACTATTAAAAGAAAAAGCAACAGAAAAATAATGTGATTATGTGTGGCATCTATATGAATTTCATGGTAAAGTTTTAGACTTGATGCCTGCTTGGATGGTACTTTTAGAATGTCAAATATGCTTCTTACTTAATAATGTTTGAGTCAAACATCATGAGATGTAAAGTAACTTTTGAAAAAGCACATTTTATATGAAAAAATAGATTAAAGGGAGAATGGCAATGAAGACTCCAAAAGAGGGGGAAAAAAAGTTGTGATAACCCAATGCATTTGAAGGTTATCTATGTGTAATTAAAGATTCATCGATTCACTTATATATAGATGAATCTTCAATTATGTAGAGCTTTCGCTACTTCTTTTTTTCTCCTCCCATCAGTGTTGTTGTCCCTAAATTATAAATGGGTAGTGCGCCTTTAGTCTCCTCTCTCCACCCCCTACTTTGCTTTTATTTAATTATATTATATGTATACACTTACAAATATGGAAGATTCAAATTGATCAACAACCAATTTAGTTAGTTATGTCATTTTCTTTCATTTATTTATTATGTTACATTCATCTTGCATCTATTAACCCACTATGCAAAGCAAATCCATGCTATACCGAAAGTATCAAAGCACTGGTTAGTTAAATGCAATTCTAACTCTTTCCAAATCAAATCTCGCATAACGTAAACCAATATTAAGATAAGGAGAAATATGTATTCAAAGATTCAATAGAAAATTAATAACATCCATTAAATAATAATCAATTTTTGTAAGAAAATCAAAGTTGATCTTTCACTAATAAAGTTTTTTTTAAACTAACGAACACGTAGCTCAATTAATAAAGAGTTGTACTAATTTAATTAGTGGTGAGTTTGAGTTTTGGATATATAACTTTATTAAATACTTATTGGAAGAGTTTTGCTGCTAATATAGTTTTATCCAACTTGACCCATGAATAATGGGCAATTGTATATAAAAATAATAATAAATTTTTTTCCAGCTTCATACTAATACTAATAATGTTTAAATTAGTACTATTCATATTTATTATTAAAAATTATAAATCTTAAATATTATTATGGTAATTAAGACTTCCGTGATTTTATGAAATTTCATTAAAATAATTAATATTTAATGATATTTTAGAAAATCTTAACAGCAATTAAATTTTAAGTTTTTATCTTAAATTTAAAATAAATTATATTATTCATGATTTATAAATTAAATAAATTTATATAAATTGTACTACCTTTCTTAAAAAAATTTAAGACATTTTTTGAGACAATAAATGTTAAAAAAATATAAGATACTTTTATTATTTTAAAATGCAATCATTACCTTATTTTTTCAGAAGTGTTTCTAATGAATAAATCACTTTATATTTATTTTAAAGTGAAATACCCTATTAAATAGAAGTAAATATAAAAAATATAATTTTAGTTTAAAGACAAACAATTGCATTATTGGGAGTAAAATTTAATTAAAAATATCTTATATTTTAATAAAAAGAATAATATATATAAAAATAATATAATAATAATAATATGAGTCAGGGTTTTTATTTAAAGGTTCGGATATAGTGCATGGTGAGTGACGTGCGGAAGACTAAACAATGCCATTTTGGGGTTAAAATGCTTACAAATGTCAGTTTTTTGTCTCCTCACATGCCACTTAGACACTCATCATCTGCTGGATCCAATTACTTGATTATAGTCGATAATTTAAATTAAACTTAAATTATAAAGACTGAAAATTATGAAAAAAATTACAAAAACTAAAAAAAAAATTAATGAAAATATAGGAATTTCTAATTGTGTTTCCCATTTTTCAAGAGAGGAGGTATTTAATTTTTAAAAAACTATCTTTCACATTTTCAACTATGGTTCATTTCATTTGTATTTTCATATAAAAAAGCAACAGATACAGACGAAACTACTTTTTTTTTTTTTTCCTCCTCATAAACGTTGGTAAAAAAGGAAAAAAGAACGTTGGTAACTTTTTCGGTAAGAAAAATAACGCGCGCGCGCACTCCATGCGCCAAGTCAAGACCCAAGGGTGAGTCACGTTTCTTTTTGTTCTTTTTTTTTTTTTTCGGGGGACCAAAAAGTGAGTGCCGTTGATGAGCATGGTCAATATCAGCACGCTCAGGTTGGACTCAATTTTGACCCTAAAGCCAAGTTCCATGTAGCCTGTTACTGCAACATTTCCTCCTTCATTCACGATTTTAAAACCTTCTTCTCCCACTCGGTCCATTGAACCTCTTTTAATTCGGTTTTCGTCTCTGCTCAGGTCTCTTTCATTTCTTCCCTTCTTTCTCCTTTCTGGCGCTTCTTCTGGGAGGCAAAGCCACAGTTGAACAATGGCGAAGGTCGTGGCCATTTTGTTCTTCACCTTCGTTGTTCTTTGTCGTATCAGCCATGTGAGATCGGATGCTTCAAATCATCGTTACAAAGAAGGAGATATTGTGCCCTTTTATGTTGCAAAGGTTGGGCCATATAAGAATCCCAGGTAATCAACTAATTTCTCTTGCTGTCATATACACAGTTCTTTCTGATTTCTGAATCATTGGTCAGCAGCTGATGACGAATTATAACTATTTTTAATAAATAGCTCGTTCCTTTCAGTGAAACATATGGTTATTATGATCTCCCGTTCTGCATGCCAGGTTGGTTTCTCAGTCTTTGATCATTCACTTTTTTTATTCATTTTATATCCATCTCTGTGAGTGCAATCATTTTCTTTGTTTTTTCTTGATTTGCAGATCGCGTGAAGGAAGAAAAGGGAGCTCTCAGTGAAGTCTTAATTGGAGATCGTTTAGTCAGTGCTCCTTATCGGCTTGAATTCCGAATGAACAAAAATTCTGAAGTACTCTGCAAAAAAACACTCAAGAAGGAAGAAGTGGCCAAGTTTCGATCCATTGTTCAGAAGGATTACTACTTTGAAATGCATTATGATGGCTTACCTATTTGGGGTTTCATAGGAGAAGTTCGTCAGGAAGGACATCATCCAAGTGACAATAAGTACTACATGTACACACATATTCACTTTAGCATCTTCTACAACAAGGATCGTGTTATTGAAATCATAGCACGTACAGAGCATGATTCTTTTGTGGACCTTACAGATGATAATGAAGTAGATGTGGAATTTCTGTATACCACAGAATGGATGCATACTGACACTCCTTTTGAGAAGAGGATGGACAAGTACCATGAATCATCCTCATGGCCCCATTGGTTCTCAATCTTAAATTCATGTGTGCCAATTCTCCTTCTAACTGGGTTTCTTGCAACCATTTTAAAGCGGGTCCTTCAGAATGATTTCATCAAGTAAGAACCTTTCTAGTTTCTGTATTATCTGTTTTAGGTAGAGCATTTCTATTCTCGAGCTAAAATGTAGATGTTACACTTGTTTGTCTTCAAAATAGGTATGTCCATGATCAGGAATCTGCAAAGGACGAGGAAGAGACTGGTTGGAAGCGTCTTCATGGAGATGTATTTAGGTTTCCCAAGTATAAGTCTCTACTTGCAGCTGCACTTGGATCTGGCACCCAACTGTTAGCTCTGTAAGTTCTCTCCGAGTTCTGAAGCTATGTGTCTATTTTCTTTATTGTTCTGTCTTGATAAGTTTTGCTTGTTGATAATGTGCAGTATAGTGTTCATATTCATTTTGGCTTTTTTTGGCGTATTCTATCCATACAATCGAGGCGCTCTGGCCAAAGCACTTGTTATGATATATGTACTAACTTCAGTGTTTGCTGGCTATACTGCAACCAGATTTTATTGTCAGCTAGAGGGAACAAAATGGGTATGCACTTATGAGTTTTGAACTTGCTTTTGTTTTCATATTCAATCACTGATCATTACATTACATTACATACTTGTCCTTGCTTTTGACAGGTTAGTAATCTGCTATTGACTGGATGTCTTTCTTGGGGACCTCTATTTCTCACATTTTGCTATCTGAACATTGTTGCAATTGCTTACAATGTTACTTCTGCCCTTCCATTTGGTAAAGTTATGGTGATGGTTCTGATATGGACTCCTGTAACATTGCCTTTGCTTGTGTTGGGTGGGATTGCTGGGAAGAAGAACAAAGCAGAATTCCAAGCTCCTTGCCACACAAGTAAATATCCTAGAGAGATTCCCTCTTTGCCGTGGCATCGCAGAGCGATTTCTCATATTGCAATGGCAGGGTTTTTGCCATCTTGTGTTGTGTGCACTGAACTTTACTACACATTTGCCTGTCTTTGGGGTTACAGGATCTATAGCTCCTACAGCATTTTGTTCATTGTCTTCATCATCCTCTTGATTGTCACTGTGATCACTACTATGGCTTTGACATACTTCCAGCTTGCTGCTGAGGATTATGAGTGGTGGTGGAGGTATGAAGTTACTGTACCAAATGAATATTGCTATTTGGTTTAACTCATGTATGCGTTTTTTGCATATTTGTTACTCTGGTGGGAGAGAAATTTTATCCGTATAAGCTAGCCTAGATCAGTATAGTAAATGTTTTCCTGGACTGCCTGCTCAGAAAGCGTCTCAAAAAATGGTTGCTTTGCTGATTTACTGATGCATTTGAATGTTCATTATCATTTTCTTTTGACCTTTTGTAAAATCTAATTAATAGATTGGACATGGATCTTTTTTTTTTTTTTTTTGCCAAAAGACATGGATCTAGTCAATGTGATAAGATATTAAACACACATACAAGTCAGTGTTTTGTATCTGATTTTGACAAAGTTCCTAAGCTACACTAAGCTAGTCCAAGTAGGTCTTCCTCTCTATACCATTTTAGAGTTATGCGGTTTTTGGTGAGGAAGCACATAATGAATTAGGGTTAGAGAGATGACTTAGCCCATTTAAAATAATAGTTACGGGGATCACCCACTACGGACTTTAGTAAGGTTAATGACTCACATTTTAGCCGCTAACCTGACTCAATAGATTGCTTGTCTAAGCTATCAAGCATTTGATCACATGGCATAATTGGGTTTTAATATTTCAACAGCCACCGGTTAACCAGTTTTAACGTATCAATAAAATAATTAATGTGAGCCCGCACATATATTTCCAACACCTGCATTATTGCTTTGATGTTTGGGGAATCTTTTGTTTATGTTGAGGTCCGGCCAGCATGGTTTAGTCATATTTCACTCATGGATCGTTAAAATTCTTACTTAAATGGTTAATTGGGTTTGGTTTGGTTTGACCATTGTATTTTTCTTTCGTGCAGACCATTTCTGTATGGTGGATCAGCAGGCATATATATTTGTGCCTATTGTTTGTACTACTACTATGCACGCTCTGATATGTCTGGATTCTTGCAGATCTCGTTTTTCTTTGGATTCACGGCTTGTATATGCTATGGTTTCTTCTTGATGCTTGGAACTGTTGGATTTTTCGCAGCTTTGCTCTTTGTTCGTCACATTTATGGATCTATCAAATGTGAGTAGGAACTGAGATACAAGAACACCTGAAATAAGACTGTATTTGGGTTTGGGTTTATATACATGCATACATATATATAACCAGTGTCTTCCCTTTTTAGGCACTGTGAATAGAGATTGATGCTTTTTGCATTGCAGAATATATATTTATGTTGTACTGTGTAGAGAAACTTTTAATTAGCAATTTCAAATGAGGCGTTTCAATTGTTTTAGCTCAGGATTTATTGGACAACATATTCAAGAGGAAATCCCGAAATGTATGCTCTTCGCGGATGATATAGTTCTTATAGCAGAGACAAGAGAAGAGATTAATTGCAAACTTGAGTTATGGAGGAGGACATTGGAGTTGAAAGGTTTTCGTCTGAGTAGAAGTAAGACGGAATATTTATATTGTAAATTGGTAAAGGACTATTCGACAATAATTTGGAAGTAAAATTGGGAGATTAAATTATACCTCAAGTGGAAAAGTTTAGATACTTGGGAGCCATTATTCAAAATGATGGCGAAATCAGTGGAGATATTTCACATAGAATTCAAGCGGGTGGTTTAATTGGAGAAAAGCTAAAGGAGTTATTTGTGACTGTAAGGTGCCTAATAAACTTAAAGGAAAGTTTTATCGCACTGCTATCAGACCGACAATGTTATATAGTAGTGAATGCTGGGCTCTAACGGGACAGCAAGAGCATAAAGTTGGAGTAGTAGAGATGAGAATGTTACGATGGATGTGCGGACATACACTTAAAGATAAAATTCGAAATGAGCACGTACGCGAAAAAGTGAGGGTGGCACCTATTGAGGAAAAAATGGTAGAAAATCGGTTGAGATGGTTTGGGCATGTACAAAGAAGACCAAGGGAGGCACCAGTGAGAAGAGTGGAACATATAACTTTGAGTCCGATTAAGAGAGGTAGAAGAAGGCCTAAGAGAACACTTTTGAAAGTTGTTGAACGCGATCTCTTAATTAATAATATTTCTAAAAGCTTGATAAATGATAGAGCACAATGGCGTCTTGCAATCCATGTAGCCGACCCCACCTAGTGGGATAAAGGCTTGTTGTTGTTGTTGTTGTATATTGTGGACGATCAAGTTTCTTGCTAGGTGTAGCATTCACACCAAATCGGTACTTGGGTTCCCTAAGCTTGAAATGTACTGGGATGGCCGTTCAACTTTCACTTCATCCTGTAAGAGTCCTTTTTTAATAAAATATATTGTTGCTCACTAAATGGTACTACCAATGATATAGATGAAGATCCAGGTATGATGTACTGTGATTTCATACAAAGACCTACACAATTACTTAACAATATGTACGTACGTATGTCTGTCTAAACAATCATTATTGATGGCAATTAAGGGTATTTTTGGCCAGAAACTTTGCACGCAATTCATAAAATTTTAAATAGTGCAAGTCATTTTGTATTCCGTGCATATATACTGAGCTCAATCTAGTTCATGTACATTTGTGTACACCAAAAGCTAATTAACTAATGTAATTCAAAAATAATGAAAAGCATATATATTTAATCCCAACCGCCTAATTAGGTAATTATGTATAATGAAAGCCATAGGTCAGCCTAATTTTATTATATCTATATTAATTATATTAATATTGATATATTTCTTGTAACCTAATTTTATTATGAAACACGTGGATGATTCATGCAACTTAAGGCATGGCATGCACCAGCATTGGAGAGCTCTGAGGACCTGATTTACCTAATCTTGTATTGGGCCAACCTCAACCTATAGGCCGGATCTGGAATCTAACTTCGTTTTAATGTGGCCCAATTCAGCCCAAAATTTGAGCGTAAGCAGGCCACGAAGGTTTTATTTATTTTTTTAATTTTTTAATTTTTTATTTTTTTTTTTACCCGAAGGAGGCACGGAGCTGACGGCACTCGACAGTTGCATTTTCAATTTGAAGAATTGTGGGGAAGGGAAGAATTGGTTGGTTCTACACTGTTAGCTTCGGCTCCTCGGCGGAGTAGATGACTTCTCCGACTTCTCTGCCTTCTAACCTTTCCCTCTCTTTCCTCACCTCCACTTCCAAACTCTCCTCCCCTGTAAGCTTCTTCGCTTTCTCACTATTCTCTTCAACATTTCCTATTTGCACTCTTTTGTTTTTTCAGGATTTAGTTCATTGAATTAAACTGAAGCGTGAAATGTATGATTTAATCAATGTGAAATTCCGCACTAACTCTTTTTTTGGTTGTTATTCTTCAGATTTTTGTTTTGCCTGCGCGTATTAATATTGGCCGGAGGTTGAAAATTTGTGCTCAGGCTGCAATTTCGAGCGATAGGCAAGGTGGCTCGCTTTTTTATTTTCTACTGTTCTTTTTTTTGTCGTCTCTCCTATACGTTGATTTTATTTCATTTTGAGGTGTTACGGTAAGTGGTCAAGTTTGCAGGCGCATATGATCCGGAGCTCCGCTCAGTGCTTGAACTAGCTACGGACTCCGAGTTGTTTGAGCTTGAAACAATCCTTTTTGGCCCAAGGTGGGTGAAATCTTCTGGAATTGTGAGAATTCTGTTTTAATTTGTTGATATCTTGTAGAGTAATGTGTCGGGTCATAATTTACTTAGTTCTAAGTTTCTGCATACTAATAAATGTTTGTCTTTTTACATGTATCAGCTACTTCAGTCCTCTGCTAAAATCAATCCCGAGTGGAGCTGAATTTGACCGCGCAATGATTGGAGTGGACCTTCAAGAACGAGAAGACTATATAGCTGCACTTGAGTCGCGATTTTTATTTCTTGCAGCTGATGCCAGGTCTACGTTAAGGTTATTGATTGCATGATTTTCTAGTTATATTTTTTTTGCCCCTTCTACTCTTCCAAATCTTTAGCTAAGAATTAATCATATAGCATTAGTGTCGTTGCCCAACTTATGAAGGAATACCTAGTTTTGTTATTGTTGGATATTCCCCCCCCCCACCCCAAAAAAAGAAAAAAATTGATATATTGTTGAGTACTTGATCTGTGTAAATTGTTTAGTTTGGTTAATTTTTCGTAGGGGTTGGAGGCCATCTTATAGAAATGTTTTGCTTGAAGTGAGGAAAAGATTAAACGTACCTTGCTCAAACAAATTGTCAACTGAAGACCTTGAAGTAGAAATTTTCCTGCACTTGTTGCAGGATAACTCAAGGTACAATTCTTTCTACCCAATCTATGTATGAACGAACACACACATTTGATTAAGTGGCACTCAGTTTATGTTTCTCCCACAATTTTTTCTTGTAAATGTATGAGCTATGCAAAGAGTATCTTTGGTGGAATGCTGTCACTCTTCTCCTTTTTTCCTTGGGAAAATGGCAATAAAATCCCACTGAAATATATAAATGACAATTAGTCTCTCAAAATGTCATAATTTCTCTAAAGCTTTTTAGGACTTTTTTGACATTAATGATTTTAGGTTGAATGACTAAATTGCCCCTTATTTAAAATAAAAAATAATGGGTGGGTTCACGTGAAGAGTTGTGATTTCTTATTCAGTTCTTGCGATTCACAGAATAAAAGTTGTGACAACTTAAACAAAAATTGTAACTAATTATTTTCAGAACTTGGATTTTGATGATAAAGAAACTTCACGTGAAAAGTTGTGATTTTTTATTTAATTCTGGTAATTCACATAATAGAAGTTGTGATTGGTTAAACAAAAGTTGTGATTGGTTATTTTCAGAACTTGAATTTCAATATTAAAAGAAATTTTATGTAGAAAGTTGTGATTTTTTGTTTAATTTTTGTGATTCACAGAATCAAAGTTGTAATTATTTAAACAAAGGTTATGATTGGGATTGGTTATTTTCAGAACTTGTTTATCAATCATAAAAGAAACTTCACGTGAAAAGTTATGATTTCTTGTTCGATTTTTGTGATTCACAGAAGAAAAGTTGTGATTGCTCAAATAAAAATTTTGATTGAGAAAATGGAGCTAGACCCATTATTTTTATTTGAAACAAGGGGAAATTTACTTATTTAACCTAAAATCATTAATGTCAAAAAGCTATCTAAGGACTTAAGAGGAATTATAGCATTTTGACAGACGCGAGACGCGATTGTCATTTATATATTTTGATGGATTTTATTGTTATTTTCCCTTTCTCCTTTGTTCCTTGCATAGAACAGAGACATATTTAACTTCATGAAGGGACATGGGAGTTTCTTGGAATTAACTTTAAGATAGCCTAGTAATTAAAGCTGCCAAGATTAGCCAATTCTTTTTGATACTTGATGTGAGACTATTCAAATCAAGTTTGGTAATTTGGTCAGATGGTGTTCTGCACTAGCATTATACTTTCCATTTTATGCTGACAGTAATAGCCGTGTGTTTATATTGATTCATTGGATGCACATTTGTTTCCTTTTTTAGTCGTACAGTAATGATCTAAATCTTGCATACTTCTGTAGTGAAAAATCAGAAACTTCATTGGATCTTGGCACAACATCTGATGTTCAGGGTGGACAACTCAGTCAATGGAAAGCACAAGTTCTTGCAGCTGTAAAAGTTGGTGCAGGAGGGTTTCAATCAATGATTTTAAAGGTATCTTAAGTGGTTCATAAAAATACTTCAGGTGGAATTGTATTTTTATTCATGATGATTTGATTTAATATAAGGTGATATGTCTCTTCTAATTCTTTTATTTTTCCTTGTCCTCTTTAGGGTGGTGGTATATTCACATTCACAAAAATATATCAATTGGTAAGAAAATGATATCCTTGTTTGATCTTTATCTTAAATGGGTCTCCAGTAGAAAGTGCCTGGTCTTTGGTTTCTTTTGATGACCATATGGTATCTTGTAGTTAGCAAGAAAATTATCTGGGAAAGTTCTTTCAGAAGCTGCTAACTACCAGATTAAGAAAGAGTTAATGAAGAAGGTATGTATTGGTAGTGACTGGGGTTTGGTAACCTGAAAAATTGTTTCTCTTGATTGTCATGCTCTCTATTCTCCATGATTTCCAGGGTGGACAGTTGGCCATTGTTAATCTAGAATCCAGGGCAGCCTTGCTTGCAGCAAGACAGGTGATAGGCATTGACCTTGTCATTTGTTCATTTAAAATTTTATGATTTATTCATAGGAATGCTTCTAAGGGATCATTGAAGGAATCTGTTAATATATTCTTATAATTACTATATTGCATTACATTAAAAAAGCCTAGATTTTGAGATATTTGTACACGTATTCTGTATATTTCCTTTTCCTATTATATCACTTTGTTATGATACTGCGAATCTTCATCTTATACTTCCATTTTGCAACCAAACTAAACATGTTTCCTGTGTCTTGCATGAAGTCTGAGGATGCTTTACTGTTTAACTTACAAACAACACAACTTATTATAGATTTTATATTGATATAGTTTTGATATGCAAGTCCCTGGTTCAGCATGTTTAAATATGCATTTCTGAAATAGCTTGGGCATAATGCTATTGCTGGAATATTTTTTTCATCTCTTTGGCGTGCATAGGTTTGGTGCAAAAAGTAAGTAGGATTCAATTTTTGAATCTTATCCTATTCTTTCTCATCTGAACTTTGAATTTTTCCAGGGTTTTCTTGGTGCTGCTTCAAGATATGTGGGTATCAGAAGCATGATGACACTACTTGGACCTGTGTATCTTCTTCACCTCAGCTAAAATTTCTTGAAGCGATATATTTTTGTCATAACTTGTCCTTCTTGATTTTCCTCTTAAATTTAAATTTATATTATAGAAAAACTCTTCTATATGATCAAAATTGTGGTTAATGATGAAGTACCTATGCACACATTGATATCAATTTCACAGTTCTCTTACATTCTGAGATGGAGCAATCTCTTCAAGTGAGGTTTATTGGAACTTCTCAGTCATTAGCAGCTTCCTTGGTTGAGAGAGATTATTGTCTCAGAAATTTGTTTGAATTCTCTGTTTGGAGGAATCTGATGATTTTCCCTAAACTTCTATGTGAAATATTATTGCTCTAATCTGGACACCATGTTCTTCCTCCCTCTCATCAACCTTTTATGATAATGAAAGATGAGATTATAATTGCCGCAAATCTGAGGAAAAAATTTATGAGCTAGTGGTCAGTGCTGTAGGGATTAAATTATATGCTTCCTTGTATTGTTTCATTTTGACTGTGGATGACATTGTTTGGTATAGAAAGAGGTCTGGAATGTGGCAAACGTCATTTCTTTATCTCCTTGGATTTTTTTTTTTTATTGGGTTCTGTTGCAAAACACCTGGTTGAAGAGACAGAGACAACTTTTCCAAGGTCATCATGGTCTTTTGCGTACGATAAAATTAAGACTCAGATAAAATACCAATTATGGTGGGATAATGGATAATTTGGGAAGTTAAAGAAATATTAAGAATAAATATTTATTTTAAGTTATTTTAGATAATTTCTATTTAATATATTATTTAGGTCATTATTTGTTTTGTTGAGCGGCCCTTAAGTTTAGGAGCAGTGGCTTATAGTACTTGGAGATTAAGTTAATATTTATTTATTTATTTTTCAAGTAATTATGCCCCCATTATCTGAGTTATGGATTGATGGGAGTATTTTTAGGAATTATTAGTCATTTTTTCTGTCTATAAATATTGAGGCACAACATGTAGAATTCATTTGGAAGTAAAATGATTATCTTTTTATCAATGGAGATTCTCCTTTGGCTTTATTAGTTGTTTAGTTTAAGATTCTTGCTCATCTCCTATTAAAGATTTTTCTTAATCTTTATTAATTTATGAATTTATATTCTGATTTCATATTTTAATAAAGACTTATGTTCCATTTTTCTCTCTACCTTAGATCCTATCAGACTCACCTTTCAGGCTCTCATTCATTTTTCCTTTTTACCCCTTTTTATTTGGCCAATTTTTTGGCTTGTGTTGTGTGTGTAAATTTTTCCTAGCATTAGATTCAAATGCATCATAGATTGAGCATCGTTCTATCTAAGCAACATTGATAACCACATCGTTATTCTTAATGATTAGATTTCTTTCACCTATTTGCTTTCAGACTTTGCTATTTCTAAGGGACAATTAGCGTTAGATGCTGATGATTTTACATCTAATGTTACATTGCACAGGCTTTGGGGAACCTTTCTTGCAGATCTTGTCATTCAAATGCTCGGAACTGATTATGCTAGAATCTTGCGAGCAATTTATGCTTTGGCGCAGGTAATATATATGCTCTTGTTCTTCTGTTTTAGGCTAGCAACTTCACCAGATACCAGGGTAGCCATCCTGCCCATCTTGATACGATTTGTGCTTAACCTTGTGCTTATTCAGTAAACTATAATGAAGAGGACCTGTTGTGGTGTTCACTTTGTTCCACTATTCATTTTGTCGCGGAAACATCAGATTGATGTTAGGCATCAAAGAACATGATATGACATCTGCTCTCTGTTTGGAATTAAATTTAATTTTAGAGAAAATATAACTTTTGGGTCCCTACATTTTGCTCCTGTTTTGCTATAAGTCCCTGCACTTTTTTTCCGGTGTTTTAGAACCCTATACTTTTATTTTTTGGTATTCTAGATTCTTAAATAAACAAAGTATAGAAACCTTGAAAGGATCTAGAACACTAAAAAGTAAAAGTGTAAAGCCTAAAACATCGAGAAAAAAAAGTATAGGGACTTGTAGCAAAATACAAGTAAAATATAGAGATCTAAAATTATGTTTTCTCTTAATTTTATCATAATGCATCTCATACAGTAGTGCTGATAATACATGGATAACCTATTTTTATGGTATTTGTGGATAATTTGATATGGTTAGTGATAAACCATTATTGAGTTTCATCTAGATTTGGGTGTGTATCTGAGTTTAAAGGGGGCATGGCCGTCTGTTGTATTATTCACCTGCAGCAGTCCTTGTCGTAAAAGCCTTCTTTATGGTGTTTACTCCTTTGTATAAAACACTTTTGTCTACTTACAAACAAAATAGCCTCCGCTATTAATAAATTTCACTGAGGATAAAAAAGAAGGGGGGGTGGAATCACTGAGGATAATTCTGAAGTTTTAAAGGCCTTAACTAATTTTAACTGAATTCTTTAATCTATGTAAAGTTGTCAGTAGGTCTTTATTTAGTTTTCATCTAGGGTTATACAAGTGATATTTTATTGAAAGTTGAAGTTGTAAATTTGATGAAGCATTGACTTATAGCATTCTTGCTTTTGATTCAGATTCGAGTCACCCGAACATATAAGCTACCGTCTGATGCTTCAGAAGAGTAGCAAGCATGCGAAGCTCAAATCTCTAACTCAAGGTTAGAGACTCCATTATTGAAGGCTGAAGGGATACATATTCTGGTATGATCGACAGAGAAAAATGTTGTAAATAAAAGGTATTTGTTTTTCTTTTTTTGTAAATATGCAAAGCTTTTTAACGCTTCAACTACTGCTGGCTTCCCCTCGTTTGTTCATATTTGGTTGTGGTTGCAGAACATAATTCCCAGCTGAAGGAACTAATCAATTTTGTAAGTTTATAATATTATGCTTTACTTCCATGCTTCAACCAAAATTTCATTTTAATTTGTGTGATATTGCTTCATTTTTCTTAATGGTTATTTTGGAAAACTTGTGAAGACAGCCATCACAAACATCACAACTTCTGGCAAAAGGTTTTATTATATTAAATATTGTCAAATTTTATGTAAAGTGGTTATAAATTCACGGGGCAATAAATTCCAAAGCAAATTAGAAGCATTTTCTTGAACTTCCTGATTTTTTTTTTTTGTTGGAATATGAAAGAGTAGATAAAACCAAACATGATACGAAAGAAATCGTGATACACCAAATGACCTAATCTTTTTATTATCTACCACCTCTTAAAAAAAAAAAAAAAGTGGTGGTTGATCAAAAGCACAAAAGCTCTCTACAAGATCTAAAGCATTGAGCTAGAAAATGGGTGAAGTTTAAAGACACTACTCTAAAGTAGTACATCTCTAAACAATTGTTAATTGACGTCAGATATGGTGGGGAGGTTAATTGTTTCCGCACAATGAGCGAACACATGGGCTTTGTAGATTTAATTGGCAGCACATGTTGAAGCATTGAATTATACCAATAATTTCAATAACGGTAGGAGGATAATGATCCACATTTGAGGAGAAACCAGCAACCCTAACTACTCTGAATTTTCCCCCCATATTTGTTATATGTTCGAAGAAGCAATACTCTAGCTAACAGATGGATTCAATTTCAAATAACTATGCATGGGCCGTTAATATCACCAATAACCCAAATTTAGTGATCATTGGGGCCTTGAATCATGAGTTCGTGGTTGTGGGACCCAAAACCCACAAGACAAAAGGCCCATAAATTGTGTTGTGCGTGAGTGTTGCGTGTGTATAATTCACTTCATCTTTCCAAAACCATTATATGTCTTATATTTTAACAATTGTGTCAAATTTTGTCGTTTTAAAAAATTTAAGTTTAGGACATATTCTGTTTTCATTTACACCTCATTTTATAATTATACTAGAAGTTGAAAAATATATTAAATGAAACAAAGAGATTATATGAGAGTATATTAGTTTAGGTATAATATAGTGGAGCTACGAGATTAAAGTTGTTTCCTCACCTAAATTCTTTTCTCCAAACAATGAATTCTTTTATAAATTTTTCTAAGAATTAATTCTATTTCTCACGACTTGGAAACACAGAAAAATATCACAAGAATTGTTTTGAAATTTTAAGATAATGTTTTTGAATTTTTATAGTAAATAATATTCATTAAAAAATTGTTTTTCCATCTTCTCACAAAAAAAAATACAATAATGCAGAATATAAAGGACGGCTCAATTCTTTCTAAACAAGGTCAAGAATGGTTTATATATTATAAACCAAAAAAAATCATACTGTAATAGACAATAGCTATTCCCAACTTGAATCCAAGAATACTTGACTTTAAATTAGTATTGAATACTAGTTATTGTTGTACCAAAAAAATGCAAAAAGAAAAAGCATCCTAGTTTTTTTTTTTTAAGTTCTCACGAAAAATACAACTTCTAGTTTGCAACGTTTTCACATAAAAATTCAGTGAAAACAATACCAATTTCACAAAGAAAAAAAGTTGAATTTGGATCTCTTTAAACAAAAAATAAGAAGAGTTACACTAAATTGTTAAATAATCTTTGTTAAACATATCATCGATAGCAATGATTATAACAATTACTCCCTCCATTTAAAAAATATAAAATATCTTTTGATGAGTTAGATATTAAAAAATGTAAGATATCTTTTGCCTTTTAAGGTGTAATCATTGTCTTTTTTTTTTCAAAGGCTTATTGATAATGACTTTATATTTATTGTAGGGTGTTTAATAAGGGTAAATATGAAAAGATAGGCTTAGTTGAAAAGTAGGTAATTACTTTATTGAAAGGTGAGATTCAGTTAAAAATGCATTATATTTTTTAACGGAGCGAGTATTATTTGTTAATAACATGTCATCTTGTGAGTCAAAACCCCCATCTCTTTAGTAACTAGTATTCTATTTTATTCTGTGTTTCTTTATATATATATATACAGGCAAACAAAATAAAATAAACCCATTAAAAATTGGCAAATAAAATTAGACTCTTTTGGGCAGTGATGGAGACGGGCACAAGCATAACTAAAAACTATTATACAGGAGGGGAAGAAAACGAGGGTATCATGGGGACATATAAAAAGTGACTCTGAAGGCCAAAGAAAAACGTGTCATGAAATGGAAGCTAACCACATAGTGCCTTCCATTTCATTTTTTTACTTCTCTTCCTCCTTCGTTGATGCTGACTCCTTCCAATTCATTCTAATTCTTCTTTCCCCCACAAATTATATTCATATTATAACACCTAAAGTAAACTGATGAAAATACTATGAAGTCAATTAATTCTATGTATATTTTAAATTTAAAAACGACAAAAAAGGTAAATATCATTGATTCCCTTTTAGTTTAGATACTTAAGAGACGAGGGTTTCCTAAATTAATAGATAATGACATTCTTTAGATAGAGAAGATTCAGATCTGATTGTTCAGTTTCAATACGTACTCAATTATATTTTACTTTAAACAATTTGAATTCGTAATTGTAAAAGTGACTTTAGAATAATGCGGTAAAGAAAAGGGAGGACAAGAAAGAAAGTGGTTGAATCAGGAGAAAAGTGGGTCATGTAACCAAATAAATAATAAATAAAAATCATATCAGCTTTCTATTGTTTGAAATCTATTCCATTGGTTTAATCTAATGATTGAGTGGGGAAAAAATAGGAAAAATTTTAGTGTGGAACCCTTAATCAGACATAATGAAAAAGATTATCTCTAAATTTTTGAATTTTATTGAAAGACCCATACAAATTTCATTTGAATTTATAATATAAATGATAAAATTGTTTTCATTTAAATGAACATATAAACGAATTATTTGTTCCTATATTGTATATTATTCATTTACTTACAGAATGTTGTTTGTTTTTCTACTTCACTTGTTTATAGTTCTATTTTTACTTGATTTCATTTCAAGACTATAAACAAGTGAAGTAGAAAAACGAACAACATTCCGTAAGTACGAACACAATATATATATAAGAATAATAAGTTGTTTATGTTATTCATTTAAATGAAAGTAATTTTGTCATCTCTATCACAAATTTTAAAAAAATTTCTGCATGGGTTCTTTACTAAAATTTCAGAAATTTTGGATCCTCTTTTTCATTATCTTGGATCAAGGGTCTTCACCTAAAATTTTTCCAAAAAATTAGCCCAATGTATATGTATTACACATTACATTATTGATTGGATAAAAATCTCTCTCCTGACTACTGAGTCAAGGCAACATATTTATCAGAAATATAATCATACAAAGATAGAACAGTATAATTTATCATAAGAGAGTATCCAATGTTCTATTTTGTTTTTGAACACATAGCTGCATCTTATAGAGAATCTGATTTGGACTTTCACTACTCAACGAATACCAAATGTACACGTTATACATATAGAGAGTGAAATATGTTGAAGATTATCCAATATAATGGTGCAGTTAAGTTATAAGGGTGTTGTATAAAAAAGGCTAGTCCAGTTAATAAATATTTAGCCTAAAATCTTTAATATTATGGGTTCAAATTATGTTACTAATGAGTACCTTGTAGATTAGTAGCTACGAGTATCTTTATAAATATTTTTTTAAATTTAAATGTGTACTTTAATCAGTGACGAATTCACAGGAGGCAAGGGGGACCCCCAATTGTAATGCTGCTTTTAGTTTGCTTATTTTTTAAAAATTTTTTCTTTACAAAAAATGTGAAATTAATTTTT